AATACTTGATCAGCTTTGCTGGGAGTGTGGGACACGATGAACTTCATTTCATTATAAGAGTGCAGCAGAAATGAGGCATTATATTTTACAACCTTGTAAAATCAAACATCTGCCTAGAGAAAAGCAAAAGTGGCTGTTGCAAAGATTTGGTTATATATTATATTATATTATATATATATATATTATATATATATGGATAAGAATCTTTTAAAAATCATTCAAGCTAAACATCACCTTTGATTTCCCTACAGTTCAGGGCAGTTCAGTATGAACACCTTGAATTACACAAACAAGCCTGACTTCATCCTGATGGGACTGACAGATTCCAAGGAGGTCCAGGTGGTCCTCTCTGTCCTGTTTCTCTTGGTATACTTGGTTACTGTCTTGGGGAACACAGGGATGGTTCTCATCATCCGTCTAGATGCCCAGCTTCATACCCCAATGTATTTCTTTCTCACTCACCTGTCATTTCTTGACCTCAGTTACTCAACTGTCATCACACCTAAAACCTTAGAGACCCTGATGACTTCCAACAGGAACATTTCCTTCACTGGCTGTCTCATTCAGATGTATGCATTTGTTCTTTTGGCTGCTGCTGAATGTTTCCTTCTGGCATCAATGGCCTATGACCGCTATGTGGCTATCTGCAACCCTCTACACTACCCAGTTATTATGTCCACAAGACTCTGCCATGCCCTCCTCAGTGGGTCCTATATGATTGGAGCTATGGATTCTACTGTTAATTTGCTTTGCATGAGAACCTTACATTTCTGTAACTCCAATGTCATCCGTCACTTTTTCTGTGACACATCACCAATTTTAGCACTATCTTGCAATGACACATATAAAGTTCAAATCATCATATTCATTTTTGCTGGATTCACCCTAACGGTGTCTCTGATTACCATATCCTCATCCTATGCATCCATTCTTTCTACAATTTTGAAAATCAATTCCACCTCAGGAAAGCAAAAAGCCTTCTCCACCTGTGCCTCTCATCTCCTGGGAGTCACTGTCTTTTATGGCACTATGATTTTCACTTATTTAAAACCAAGTAAGTCTTACTCCTTAGGAAAGGATCAAGTGGCCTCTGTTTTTTACACTATTGTGATCCCCATGCTAAATCCACTTATTTATAGTCTCAGAAATAAAGAAGTGAAAAGTGGTTTCATTAGAGTTGTAAAGAAAGGGTTCTGAGCAGTTAGTTTGATAATGGTGTTAAAGTGTTTAAATTCTCCTTTTCATATTTTTATTGAGCTTTTTGTAGTTACTTCTTAAACAAAATAATTTCTGCCTTGTTTTCATGTACACAGAGTTTCCCTTAGACAAACATGGTCTTGGACCATATCAAGAATATGACTTTAATATTTTTATCATATTTGGAATGCAGAAAAGATTAATACTTCACCTCACCTATATGTCTGTTGTTTGAGGGAAACTAATGCAAGTAATAATTAGGTTTATTCACAGTTTTCAATCTTTATCTAACACTATTTCATGAATACTGAAATTTTAGTTACTTATTGGCATAAAAAATGTTTCTAAAATGTGAGCAATTCCACAATCATTTCTGTGTTAACCAGTCTATATTAGACTTAGCTAGTTAACCATCAGTGTTGATGAATCACTAAAAGTTTAATCTTCATTTTTCTAAACTGTTGAATTTAAATAATGATTCCTGGTAGACGGTATCTGGGGATGGATGAAATACATTTAAGGCAATAATGACAACTCTTATCCATTATCATTAAAGATTTACTTGCCAAGATTTCAAATGAATAATGGCTTCTCTAGAAATATTGTTGTTATGCAAAGTATTTTCAGTTAACTCAGGAACACACATTTAGCTGAGAGGGAATATGATCAACATTCCACAAGTTTGGATTTAGTATTGTACATATTAGGGATAATTTTTCATGTGATGTTTTAGTTCACTGAGAAGCTGGTTCTGGAAGTGAGGTTACCACCTCCCACTTCAAATCCAAAGTGTTTTTCTCAGATTGTACCCCTAGGTCCTGTCTAGGGAAGGTCAGGTCCGTCTAACTCTGTTACGTGAAGGGATGGGTACATCAAAACTGTCCAGAAGAAAAACATTGTGCCCTTGTGAACCTCTATATGATAAGCCATTCCCAGCAGAGGTTTCTCTTGTTTATTCCACGTTATAAAATTGCCTTAAGTGGGAAAGAGAAGCTGGAAATCCAGCATAGGAAGGTTCTCCATGGAGAGAAAGCTCATTTGGAAGCTCCAGTGACCTAAACTTCCCTGGTCTGTTACTGCTGGAAGTTACAAACATCTAAATTCACAATATTTTCTTTGCCCTTTACTATTTGTTGTTTTAATTGGAAGCTTCACCCCAGGGGAAACTTTGTTATGCAAGTGACTCTCTCTATTGGGATCAGCATCTGGTTGCCTTATAGCAATTTGCCTAGTCAATGTTTGCTAGATATTTCATTGCCATATTGATGATACTTTGCTATCTATGTATCTATGCGTATATGTATATATGTATCTACCTAACATCTATCTATCTACCAATCTATCTGTCTATCTATTATCTATATCTATCTGTCATTATCTATCTATCTATCTATCATCTATGTAGGTTTGTGGGCACATACACACACTCTCAGATGCCACAACACACAAGCGGAGAGGAGAAGATAAATTTGTGGAACCTGTTTTTCCCTTCCATCATGCGAATCCTGGTTATAGAATTCAGTTCTTCAGGCTTGGCAGCAAGTGCCCTCAGCCCC